ATTTATTTCAATTGGTTTGTGTGGGTGTCTTTGAGTTCAGAGTTCCTGTTAAGCATAGCTTATTGCGCGTACCCTGAACCCATCACCCAAGTCGTACCGTCCAGTTCAACGAACGATTCTGCCTTCACCCTTTTATCCAGACAGAATTGCGGAGTCCTTTATGTGCCGCACAATGCTGCGGTATAGCTCGGCTGGGCCTGGGTCAGGTCAGGTCAGGTCAGGTCAGCATACCTCGTGACAGGCAGCAGTGCAGTCGGTCATTCCCACCTTGTCGGATGTGGAAAAGCTCGTGGATGCGCAAAAAAATGCGATTCGATTTCGTCCAGGCCGCTCCGATTGGTGGACCGCTACCGGTACACAGATTGTGGTCAGTTAAGGTTAACTTCAAACGACCGATCCAACGCTGTGCAAAATGTATGGGGCTGCCCTCCCATTAGTTTTACATTTTCCTCACGCACATCGGGTGGACACTCAGCAAAGCGAAGCGCGTCGCCGCACCGTACGCTGGCCGTGGCGGGGAGCCGACGGCAGCTGGCGAGGCTGGGCGCCGGCGCCGGCGCCGGCCGCGCCGTGTCGGACGCCGAGCGCCGCTGGCTGTTGACCCTGGCGGCGGCGGCCTCTTGCGGCGACCCCGACCGAGAGCCGACGGCCGCTGACGCACGGCCGCTGCTGACGTCACACGATCGTCAATATCGGGCGGCGGACGGGCACCGCGCGCCGCGGCGGCTGCCAACAGCGGGGGTCGGGCGGCGATAGCGGCGTGTTGCCGAGCCGCCGGTGCTGCTCCCGCGCGCCCGACGTTACCCGGCCGCAGAGACGGCCAGCGGGTGCTTGACCGCTAGGGGAGTGTGGCCAAGGCAGTCTAGGCTGTTTCGAGGTCAGGAGGGGGGGGGGGGGGGGCGGCGAATGTGTAGGGCGCCAGCTGGTCCGTGTCTCCGGACAGACGGGTGCTCTGCACGGTACCTGACCGGCGGCGATGTCCGCTGTCCGGTACCCGTCTGAACGCCGTCCTACACGTCTGGTGCCTGAAGTATCTGCTGGGCCATATCGTGTCCCACGCGCGACCGACGACCGGCGCGGAGGCCACCGGATGGCAGTTTGGTGCTACAGCGTAGCCTGTTCGGCCGCAATCCACCTCAGGAACGACCGCGTCAGTCGCGGGCCCGCCTGAGAAACCGTCAGAATGTTCAGAAACGGCCTAACAATGTGGTGTGCTGTTGCGGTGCGGGCGGCGCTGGTGGCAGCGATGACCCGGCTGACGGCTGCGGTGACGCAGCTGGTGGCCCAGGGGAGTGGCCACCGGTCAGGCCGGTGCGGACGGCGCTTCCTCGTGGACCCGGCTGGCGCGCCGGGCCCGTCTGGGCCGGTCGACCTCGGCTGACGTAACTTTGGCGCCCGGCGCAGGGCGCAGAGAGGCGCCGGTCAGTGGCCTCCGCCTGCCGTCCCTGACCGCCCCACCGCCGGCGCCGCTGGCGGTCCGAGCAGCTTGCGGCGTCACCGTCCGAAACCCGCTTGAAGACCGGGCACACGTGCTGCTGACTGTGGTCACTTTCAAGCGGATCTCAGTGTGCTGTAGAGCGGGTGCGCAACATGTCTGGCCGTTGAAGTCAGAGAGGTGGGTTAAGTTCAGCCAAAATGATAAGGGCTTACCATAATGTGTTGTTGGGCCTTCCGCAGGAATGGCCGCGGTACCATTCAGTGTGTTTGTAACGGGAGGGGTCCTAGTGAATGGCTTCCATGGTCCCAAGGGGAATCAGGCATTGCAAGGACGGCATGTAAGGTAAGACAAGGACGTAACGTTCTGACAGCGGCGTCCGAAGTCACGCAACCTCTACTGAAGACTCCTTGTCCGGACCGTGAGGAGAACCTCGAGGCCCGGAGGTGGACCCTTCTCTGGGGGCCAGTAGCTCGACGCCAACACCGTCGATTAAACAGCGGTCCTTGGTCCGAAATTGGTCCCGTTCCGCCAGGACCCGGGGTCTGGGGGTGGTCCCGTCCCGTAAGGACCCCGGGGTCGGCCGAGATGTCGGCGCGGCCTCCGCCGGCGGCCGGATCGATCGGACGGCCGGGGATTCCGGCGCCGTGACGTCACAGCATCCGCCGCCAGCAGAATCAGTCGTCGGCCACGTGATGTCCCCCTCCCCCGTCCGACCGGCGCTGGACGACTGGTGTGTGAGGGTGTAATGCCGCTATCACGACACTGCGGGCGGACGGTGTAGAGACAGGAGGTCAGAGGCCTGTGTCTGTCGCCTCACAGCCTGAGGCCTCGCGTCCAACCACTGGTGATGTTGTCCATAGACATCCGAGTGCCTGGTGGAGTGTGTGCCCCGCCAGCGTGGCTCACTGCTGCGTTTGCGGTGAATGCACGACAAACCGGTCACGAAGCAAACGTCATGAGCGGGCTCAGTCAATGCGTCATTGGCCGGGACCGGTTAACGGGTGCACAGCGGGCCGAGCGGAAACAGACGAGGCGCCGCTGCTGTGTGCTGCCGGGAGCCGTTTCATGAACAGTTCATTGCAGTTTAAGGCTTGTCCAAGTTTCATAATTTGTCTTGTATTGCCAGCAGCCAGGTTGATGCTGTCTCTTAATTTGTTGGTGGTTTATGCAACGACACGCCTCTTCTTCGAAAGGTTGGTAACCTGCGGGCATGACGTCATCCCCGATGTCAGAATAATGCTAGTAACGTTTGCGGTAACAGCTGCTGAAGTCCCGACACTCCATGACGACCGCACCATGTGAACTGTGGGACACCCCACTGCGCAGGGTGGCAGCGTTCCCTGGACCGATAACGCGCGTCGGTCTGGCAGTAACCGGCCGTTCCGGCTGCGACCGCATCTGGGTAACGGAGGGGGGACTGAGTTCGGGGATGGGATGTCCAGGCAGCTCCTCTTCCGTTGACGTAAGGAGATGGCCGGCCGTGGAGATTCGACCTGAGGATGTCGACCGCGGGGTGGGCGTCAGTCACTCAGTCTGGACGAGCCGTCATGTGCAGCCATCAGCTGTCAGATGCATGCCAGCCGTCATGGCGGGCGAGCGTGCCCAGCCGAATGAGGCGAGCCACCGGTCGCCGGGTCCCCAGCTGGCGGTCAGGTGCCACCCACGGCGACCGACTGTCGGGTGCGGCGAGCCCTGACGACCCCGCCGCCGAGCCCGGCGGAGCGGCACCCGTCCCCTGACGGCCGGCTCCGCTGCGCAGAAGACAGCCGCGGGACGTGTCCGCGGGCGGGCGCCGGCAGGGCGCTCCAGGCGCTCCGGTGTTCGGAGCCATTGTTCGGAGAGCCGAGCCGGGCTCGCATTGCAGTCGTGCACGGGACCTGACCGGAGCGGGCCATTCACCTCCACTCGGGTCCGCAGCACCAGTCTGCTCAGATCAGTATCCAAAATGTAGATTGTTACGCGCCTATCCAGGAGGAGCATCTCCTCGATTAGGGTTAGTCCCATCCGTTGTTGCATAAGCTGCTAGGCCAAATGATGGCGCAAGCGCCTAACTGGGTTGTCAGACCAGACTACTTGTAAACACGAACAGCACATGACTACAGCAGGGAGGAGTTTCGTTGTAATAGGTCAATCCACGTATGCCTGCCGGAATATCGTTACTGCGCAATGGCCTGAGATGGGCTGCACTTACACGCGAACAGTGCGGCGTCCGGTCAATAAGACGACGGTCAATATGTGGCGCCTGGTTTCGGTTTCTGCAGCCGCCCTTACCTTGCCACTTTTCAGTCAGCGTAGCTTTATCGACCACCTTACCTGTGCCACGTTGGCGTTCAGGTGACTGCAGAAGCCGAGCCGAAGACCGCTGCCGTCACCAGCTCGCCGCAGTGGCCCAAACAAATTCGGCCTCAATAATGCACTGGGCCATTGCAGTGGGTTGGTTACCGTCTGCAGCCGGCCGAGCATTCTGCACGTGCGGCTGCAGGTCAGAGGGGGCAGCAGGCAGTAGTGCACCGGACCCGTTCCGGCACTTCAGGATAGAGCACCCCTTGTCGTAGGCCCGCCCGGCATGGCCCGGGCGCGCGCGAGAGAGGCGTCATTTGTCTCCGGTCTGTCGGGCGCAGACGGAGCACTAAACAATGGCAGTGCTGGCTGTTGGGCCCAGACGGGCTGGACCGCCCGGCCGTCCGCACACCCCGGCGGCGGTGCTGCCTGGCGCTGCCCCCGTCTGTCTGCTGGGCCCAGGCGGGCTGGACCGCCCGGCCGTCCGCCCGGCCCCCGGCGGCGGCGCGGCCCGGCCCGGCCCCCCCCCCCCCCCCCTGTCTGTGCTGGGCCCAGACGGGTTGGACGGCCCGGCCGTCCGCACGCCCCCTGCGCCGGCGCGGTACGGCGCTGCCCCCGCCTGTCTGCCCGCCTCGTCTGCACCTTCCTCCGGGGGGCTGCAGTAAAACGCACGGGCTAGAGCCGTCGCGGGCTGAGTCGGACGGGATGACGCGGGTTGTGTCCTACCCGTGGGACGCAGGGTGGGCGCTTGAGCTGTCACTGAACATGGTGGAATTGAGCGCGGCTCAGACTGGTACCGTGTGGGAGGCACGTATCTGGAAGATCCATGTTGTTATCAGATCAGAAACTTCTTATCCGCTACATGAAAAAGGCACTACCTTTAGATCTTTCGAAGGCATTAAATGTCTCCATCACTCCGATTCTGAAAACATCCAGATTTCTTTCATCTCTCGGGTTCCTTGCAACGAGCAAACATTTCAGTCATTTTTCCCCCTCAGAGGCTTAATACGCATGGGGGAAACGGTCAGCAGTGTCGCCGTCAAATGCTGACATCACTATTCCAAATCCAGAGCACATCGATGGGTCCCGTTTTACTTTTGACGCCGTCAAATTATGCTGCTTGGTCGACGTCTCTCTTCCTGGAATGGGTGCGGCGGCTGATCGTGCTCGACGCCTCGGGATGCCGTATCAGCACTGTAAGGACATCACGGGCTTGACGCGTTTCACGATCGATTGGCTACACTCGGAGGCGCGCGTACTCATGCTCTGCCTTTTTCCACAGGTCGCGATTAAGATCATCGACAAGAAGAGCTTAAGCCTGGACAACTTGAAGAAAGTGTACCGGGAGGTTGAAATCATGAAGCGGCTAAGCCATCCGAACATTATCAAACTGTATCAGGTGAGTCATAGTGCGTCCGAAAACAGTCTGCCTCCAGCCACCTCCTCAGGCGCTGCCGAAACAACACCGCTGGCGCGGATACGGGCCCAGCTTACTTTAAACGCTTGAACAGACGGTGCGCCCGTCCGGTGTTCATAAGGAAGGCATTCTCAGGGGAGACGGCCGGTTTTCGGTGTTGCCCTCTGCTTGGTTAAATGCAATATCTGAATCAGACATGGAATCGAAGTCGTCTTTAGCTCCGGCTTTGGCGTCGGCTTCGGCTTCGCGAATCCGCAGTTTTCCTGCAAGGACTTGACATGTGACTTTGAGCCATTGTGTTCGGCTGTCTTTGGGTTTGATTTCGGTTTCGTGTAATTTTACATGGCTGGTTCTGACTTTGCCTTCGTCTTTGCACCATGCGCAAAGTTAGCTTTAGTCTGGGCTTCGAACAAGGTTGATTTTTTGCTCTGGTTTTGGCTCTATGTGGTCTTGGAGGCCTGGTCTCAGCATTGTTACGGTAACTTTGTCACGGCAGTTGCAGTCTAACTTCACAATAAACAGTCATGTCAAAAACAAACCAGTCCGTCATGCCATCCCATTATATCACACAACTTTTCAAGGCTGTAACACATACATACAAAACCAGTCATTCATAGGAACAACTGACACCTGGCGACAGCCGGAGAACTAACTGTCCGAAACGTGATATACGCTCTAACACACAAGACGAGCACGATTGTCTTGACAACTCTTCCACCCGTAATGCACCTTATCCCAACCACTCCTCAAAACCCATGGGATATTTCCTAAACCCATACAGTTTTAACAGAAACGAACATCTTTTGGTCCTCAAAACAACGTTATGCACTATATTATGCCCGGCTTCTGCTCGTGTTTTTGAACTGATGGGCTTGGCTTCTGCTCGTGTTTCGTAGGTTCCAGTTCTCTGATTTCGACTTCAGCTTCGCGCGTATAAACTTCGAGGCCACTCGCTTCGGATTCGTCTTCGCGCTTTAGAATGACGAATCCACAGGCTTCGGCTTCGGATTTGCAGTTCCAAACTTTGACGCCACCGGCTTCGGCTTTGACGTCAGCTTCGGGTCGTTGTCTTATGTCCGGATTCGGCTTCAAAGCCAGCAGCGTGACTTCGTCCCCATCCCTGATACAAACGCCTATCAATGGACAATTCCTTGTCTGTCGACTATCCACACTCTCGCCCTTATTGCAAAAACGCCTAAAACACGTCCAGACATGCCCGGGCTTGCGTCTGCTGCATCGAGTTGTGCATGGCGCCGCTGCTGTTCACCGGACAGGGCTTATCCCTAGCGGTTGGCCGAAGCAGGGTGCCGGGCGGGTGGGCCGGCCCGAGGGCGCCCGGGGGCGGGCCGGCCCGAGGACGCCCGGAGGCGGGCCGGCCCGAGGGCGCCCGGAGGCGGGCCGGCCCGAGGGCGCCCGGCCGCCGCGGCCGTCGCCGCGCGTGTCGGCCGGCCAGCGCCCTCGTGACCGGTCGGCCGGCCAGCGCCCTCGTGACCGGTCGACCGGCCGCGAGCGGTGCCGGGCGGACGGGCCGGCCCGAGGGCGCCCGGAGGCGGGCCGGCCCGAGGGCGCCCGGAGGCGGGCCGGCCCGAGGGCGCCCGGCCGCCGCGGCCGTCGCCGCGCGTGTCGGCCGGCCAGCGCCCCCGTGACCGGTCGGCCGGCCGCGAGCCGGCGGCGGCGTGGCGTGCCGAACCCAGCTTGGGCCCAGAATACCCGCCGGCCGACCGGCCGCTGCAGCTCGGGACATCAGCGGCGAGCCAGGAATAGTCGGCCGTCTCGCCGGCGGCGGCGGCGGCGGTGCGGCGGCTCTGCGTGGGTACGGCTCACCCCGTCCGCGCCCGGCCGTCGGCGCTCTGCCGCGCTGTCAGCCCCAGACGGGTCCGGCCGCGTCCCGGCACCGCCCAAGCGGGACCGCCCCCCCCCCCCCCCCTGTGTGCCGCGGGCGCCCGCTGTGTGATTGGCGGCCGTTTTACGAAGCTTCGGTCAGACTTGACTATTAGCGTGCCTCGTGGGCGCGACCAGTTGCAGGCCCCCACGCTGCTTAATCTTATCACGGATTGCTGGCCGACGGGGCCTCGCGCAAAACACGGAGCCAAAAACGCGATCTGCTGCGGTATGCGGAAGCGTTGCCTGCCGTCAGTCGCGGTCCGTCACAAGGTCTACGACACCTCCGTCGCCTGCCGTCAGTCGCGGTCCCTCACAAGGTCTACGGCACCTGCGTCGCCTGCCGTCAGTCGCGGTCCGTCACAAGGTCTGCGGCACCTGCGTCGCCTGCCGTCAGTCGCGGTCCGTCACAAGGTCTACGGCACCCCCGACGCTGCCATTCTCCGTCTCCCGTGACGAATTTTGTACTCGGTCATGGTCCAGTGCGTCCGCGTCTGGCTGTCCCCGGACCGCTCTCTGGTCCCGGCTCCGGCTGGACTCGGTCGCTCTGGTGGTCGCTCGGTCTCCGGTCCGTTCTCTGGTCCAGTGCATCCGGCTCTGGCTCTGTCTCTGGGTACCTCCCTGCCTCGGGCGCTGAGTCAGTGGCCGTGACCGTGACCCCGGATCGATTCGTCGGCGTACCCCTGGGCGCCGGACGGCGCGGCGTTCACTGAGGGGACCGTCGGTAGGAAGATGCACTGCGCGTGCGCACGGCCGGCGGGTGTGACCGACCCGTACACCGCCTCGGCCATTACGGTGGCCGTATATCGGCACTGTTTCTAATGAGACCACTCTGGGATGGCAGCCGAGGCGGTTATAGGGCCTCGGTCGTTCAGCGGTGATGAGTGGGGCCCCGAGGTGTCAGCGGGCTGGTTAATGGGATGCAGCGCCGTCGGACGCAGCTCGTGGTGATGATGGAATCGGTCACTGATTGTGGCTACAGCGCTGCCGTGATGGTTCGTCTTCACCTGACGTACGGAAATAAAATTACGACTCATGAATGCTTGATTTACTGGGTTTGGGTATTCATTTCCTCTCCAATCCTGAGCGTTTTTGGAATGGGTAGTCTCGCGAATACGTTTTAGGTGTTGTCAGACATTGTCGATGCAATAATTACGTTCCTTGACATTTCTTCGCTGTTTTTGGACGGATCGCAACGGTTAAACGATGATGTCTGACCAGGGCTTATGACTTCAAATGGTTATTGGGGTTTTACCATCAGTTGCATGATTTTCGAAGCAAAAAAACAAACACATTTAGGCGACAATTGTCTCAACGTACCGGGGTAGCTTCTGGGAGCGCCGGCGTTGAAGTCCATGCGGGCGACGATGTGCGACTTGGCATCTATTCCATATATGGGATATTCCATGGGATGGATCTTGCATAGTTCTTAGCAATGCACACTGCTAATTCTGGTTCAAATGTGGTCGAAACCTAAATTTGAAAGAAGCGCCCAACCAATACATTGGTCGGGTGCTTCTGGCATTCGGCGTATTTCACTTTTATGGCGAATAAACACACTAAAGATAAGAGCGCAGCGCCAGCGGGTGGCTATAGTTGGAGGCCTCACCACGGATAGCAAATCGATTTCTGGCCGCATCAGGCTTGCGCTGTCGCTCCTACCAAAGTGTTCTGGTCGAGAACGCTCGGACGGGCGCTAGCTCGCCGCCCACAGGATAGGACCAAGATAGCGCTTTGATATCGATTGCATTTGGCAATGTAGCATGCATCAACAGAGCTGCTGTGCATTGCCTGTGCGGTGTTCATTGCGGGCGCCTGTACTGCTATACCTGAACTGATGTCTGTTCGGAATAACTGTTTTGTTAGTTGGTATCAGTTGACACTCCATTCACAAATACGTCGCTATCATGTGGCGTTTGTCAGAAATGACACGGTGTCTCAAACATCAATCAATTAATACTTGTTCTCAGACCGATTGCGGGTTCCGTGTTGTTAATTTGTGTGTGTGTTCTCATGCGGGTCTCTCTTTTCAGGTGATGGAAACTCAGAATATGCTGTATATTGTATCGGAGTACGCCAGCCAGGGTGATATTTTTGGTGAGTACTGTTGGGTGCGATGATGTTTAAGAACCTGTTCGCAAACGGTTCAGTTAGTGTAAATTTTGACTGCCAAATTGGTGCACTTTATTTATACGCTGTCTTCAGAGGCGTTTAAGTTTGAATAATCAGGCAGCAAAATACTACAATTGAAAGGTTTGTGCAATTTTATGTAGGAAGCTTTACATGCTCATGCCCATGCGTAACTTTAACCTCCAGGTTTACATTTCCATCCAACCACTGCGATTGGGTTGCGTTGAAATGTTTTCTGAGTGCATGATAATCTAATACAGAACATGTCGAATTTTACATATTGTCGTTTTAGACGGCAACTGCTGTGTCAGGGAATTTAAATGGAGGATACCGGTGAACAACCTGCTTATCTCACAGGCAAAAGCCGCTTACCAGTTACCGTGAAACGAAAAAGCTTCGAACTGACATGAACAACTGCATGGTCGCTCGGCCTAACAAACCAGCTTTGGTCGCTCGGCCTAACACACCAGGTTTTGTCGCTCGGCCTAACAAACCAGCTTTGGTCGCTCGGCGTAACAAACCAGCTGAGGCAAACGGAATAGTCTGGCGGCGCTCACTTGTGTTGTAGTGTTTACGCTCACTTGTGTCGTAGTGCCGGTCCGTTTTACATACTCTGTACAGGACATTGCCGATGGAGCTCTATTTTGATCTCGAGCGTCATGAATCAGATCGTCCGAACATTTGGTGGTCTATAAAAACAGCTCCTGCAGTTATGTGGCCGTGCTGTATCAAGTGCTAAATGTACCGTTCTGCATTTGGCTCTTCAGAAACATCGAGATAATGACTTAGATATAGTGTAGGGCACACATTGATACGCTTCGCGTCGTATAGATGGGGTCGATTTGCTTCAGACACATAACGTTTGCCCGCGCCGCTACGTCGCAACACTGACAGCCATTTTAACGCGTTGTTCGTACATCCCACAGGGAGCGGTATTCCAAAGACACTTTCGTTCCCCGTACAAGTGTAGGCCAACAGTCGTCTGCGTATATCGCTGCTGCCGCTCAACGTTTGATGTGCATGAGAGGGGTCCGGGAGCGCCATGTGGACCCTTCATTTGTCACCAAGTCGTCTGCTGGAGTGGACCATCGGCCCGAGCGCACGCGATCGGCCATCCCCGCAGTCGTGACGTCACCCAGCCCATCCGTATCTGTCACGACTTCAAACGTCGTCCGGTGGCCGCGGTGCCAACTTAAAGACCCGTTTCCGTCGAGCCCGGGGAAGGCGCGCCAGAATCATAATCAGGCGATGTTTGATGTGGGATCAAGCTTCAAGACGGAGCTGTGCAGCTGCACGGCAGAGGCTCGGCGCCCGCCAGTCAGCGGCCCGCCGCGCCTCTGCCGGCGTCATGCGGTCCGAGAGGTGCCTCGGTACGCTGTTCGGCTCGCAGTGCCAGAGGTGCCTCGGTACGCTGTTCGGCTCGCGGTACCAGAGGTGCCTCGGCACGCTGTTCGGCTCGCGGTACCAGAGGTGCCTCGGTGCGCTGTTCGGCTCGCGGTACCAGCGGTGTCTCGGTGCTCTGCTCAGCTCGTGGCCTGGGTAAACAGTGTTATCTTGGGGACGTGTCCGGGCCGGACTACACGTCCGCACACTGCTGAGCACTCGACCTGATTATGAGCGGCGTATCGGCCCGAGCGCACGTGATGATGTGCGAGTAGCTGACCGAATGCATAACAGGACGGCCATGGAATGTAGACACAGTGACTAGTGCTGAACCTCTTGGCAGGAGGCGCATCAGCCAAATGGAATGATCAGTAACATTGACGCAGGCAGTCATGATGGCAAGTGACTGAGGTGCCTGGGTGCGCTGGCATTGGGCTACCTATTGGAATTTGTCCATGCAATCCTTCTGAGTTAGTGCCAAATTTCAAGATAACTGCGGATTGGTGGCGCACTCCCCGTTCTCCCCGGGCGTCGCACCCGTGAGGAAATTTATCCGTATACCTACCGTGAACAGCCGGTGTTTCAGGTGTTACGTAACGAATGGTAAATGTGTTGCGCTTTTCTGCACTCACTTCGGCCGCATCTGCTTGGGTTATGAATCAATTGGCCGACGGCATGGGATGTTTTTTCTTGAGTATAAGAAATCCTTTGCGAAGTTTGTGAACCCACCAGTGAATGCTTCAGTCCGGTTCTGCGAAATCGATTTCTGCGCTGACTCATATGCAGGGGGCCGATTTCGATGCAGACTTGAGCAGGACAGAGTGGGTTTAATTGTATTAAATCTATATCGATTCCGACTCAAATACAGGAGGTCAGGATCAATTCCTGTTGAGTCGGTACCGGTTACGATTTGGAAAAACTCTTTTTATGAAGGTCAGCAGACATGACATACATATTCATAACAGAACAGCTAAGCAGGTAGCTGGCCTATCATGTGATGCTCACATGATATTTCAGAATACCGACACCACCGGTAACCCATTGCCTATATATGAGGCCACTCATCGATGATTCCAGCCAACAAAACTAACTTAACTCCGAAGACGATTCTGATTCTGGCTCAAACACAGCCTGCAGTGAATCCCAAGTCTGGGGCCGAAGGATCACACGTGACCCGTACTACGTACTCACATATATAGCCCACCACCGTCCCGGCAACTGTATTTTTGGCTGGCATGGCGCACAGCTCACGAACTAGCGCGATTTCCACTCTTTCGCAACCCGTGGGTGCCTTTGACTTCTTCGAACGTTAGCAGTCGCTCCCAGTTTATGTCGAATTTTCACCTCGTAAGCCGGCTTAATGCCTTTGCCTGGGTTTGATTGCTCAGTATAATGAAACGGGAGGGATTTTGCCTAGTCAGCCAGCCCATTTAGGCGCGTCCACACCCGCCGACCTCCGGCCTTTGCGTGCTAGGGCCGCGTTTAACGCGTTCGCACGGGTCCGTTGCCAATGCTGCGCTGGCTGCTGACTCCGCTTTTGCAAAGCTCGCGTGCACGCGTTGCATACCGGCATGTTCGAACGCTTTCGGAGGTGCTGGTGAATGGCCAAAAGCTCGTCAGATGTGACGTCAGCGGGTGTGACGTCATCGGTCCGTTAGGGCCCGGTCAAGGGGTTGCTAACCGCGCTTCGGAAGGTCTTGCGGTCCATTGTCAACGGTGCATGTGACGTCACCCGTCGGTCGGACGTCAGAGGCGGTGGGGGGGGGGGGGGGGGGAGGGCAGGGGGATGGTGTGCTGCCCGGTCGGAAGCGCGTTGTTGGACCCACAGGAAGTGTCAACCGCGCCCCCCCCCCCCCCTCCCCCACTACATTACACAGGGATTTTCCAGGCGGCTTCTGGACAAAATGAAGTATTTACAAGGGAACCTTCTGGACACCATTAAGCCCTTGTGTCGTATTCGAGGGAGATCGTAGGCACGTCTCCCTTTTCAAATTGTGGCATGTATTATAAGCACGTAAATAAATGTCGCTGATTAAAAAAAAAAAACTAGAAAAGAGACCTTCTTATCATCCAACAAAGGTCTTCCCCATCCCAAACAGGGACTGTTGTTGTAAAAGGGGTCTCCTGATGCACAGCACTCCTGATATGTTTCTAATCCTGAAAAGAGGCCACCTTGTTCTTTCGTCGATATAAATATACATTTTAGCGAATGTCAATGTCAGCGAATTCGTCGTCAATACTGTTAATGTTCATTTTGCGCATAAGTTATGAACATGGTTTTCAACCTTTCCGCAAAAACGCTTAGGCAGATGACTCCTGTTCAGAACCCATTTTGCCCGCCATTTTCAATAGGTATGAAATGCAAGCCAGCTGCACGCCTGGGGAACACTGTTCCAAACTGCTGTGTCTCTGAGGGGAAAGCAACCCTCACTCGTTTCTATTCGAGCGTGTGAAAAATGAGACAACCGTCATACCAATGTCATGCGTAAAGCAGGCTCATTGTAACAACGTTGCAAGTTGAGCTGGCTTTTCGGCTACCATGCGATGATACTTATGTACACATATTCGGCGCTCAATGAGCGTTCTGACGCAGGAATGCAGCTAGAGTATTAATAATTGTAGGGTGGGATACAGGGCTGACCAAGCCCTTCCCCTACGGAAAAGCCTCTACCCACCTGCCCCGAAAAAGAGGTCATCGGATATGGGCTCTCTTGATTTCGTGGGATCCATGCCCATCTTAAAAGCCAGGAGTCATCAATAGATGCTATGCTGCTTGTATTTTGAAGTCGATAAACTGAATGAAACATGCTCTTACAATTAATTTTACAATGTTTCAGTGGGCTTTTTCTAAGCCAATAGCATTGAAGAGCTGTCCGATTTTTTATGGGTTGCACAGGGACGTCGTGAACGCGGATATTCGATCGAAGTAAGGTGATAGATTTACATTCGCATAAACTCGTTTTGGTCTCAGAATGCTCAACTTTGTTCAGAATCAAGTGGGGGAAGAATTACATGACTCAGTTTTGGCCATGCGCGCTCGCAAGTCTTACAAGAACTGCGACACCCGGCGTTACAGTCTCCAGGGGCCGTACCGCTTCGGTTCCATGTCTCTAACACTAGGCGATGACCAACAGGCGGACGGAAACGACAACATTTCTTAAGGAAGTACCTTTCAACGTTTTAGGATGTCAATTGGCACGCTTGGAAGGTGCTCCGAGAGTATGTTTTATCTGTGCAATTTTAGATGTATGATATTATCGGATTAGCATTCATAGCATCGCGAGCCGTTACAAGAGTTTAATATTAGAATTAGGCAAGTAAATGCTAAATCTCTATTTTCGCGTTGCTGTTGCTGTTTATCTCTTCAGAGGATAAGCTCAAAATCATTCAAGTTGAATATAAGCCGCAGTCCAGTTTCTGAACGGTAGGAATTGATTTTAAAAGGCTTTTGGCCGCACCATTTTACGATGGCTGTTCTCGAGCGCCGGCCGCCCACCACCCGGCGTTAGCTGCACCGGCCAACGCCGCTCGGTCTCATGGAAACTGCTACCTCGGCCGTTTGTGTTCCTGCTCCTAAGATTGTG